ACTTGCTGAAAGATATTAGATGAAATTTTAAAGTTGTCTGATTTTTGATACACAAAGCAGGTATTGATTACTGGAAGATTTCTTAAGAGTGAAGGCGATCTGGTAGCATACAAGTGGTCATGTATGTTTGGGGAAGTAGAGGTTCCTGCAGAGGTTTTAGCAGATGGGGTGCTTCGTTGTCATGCTCCCCCACACAAACCAGGAATACTCCCTTTTTACGTGACATGTTCTAATAGATTGGCTTGTAGTGAAGTCAGAGAATTCGAATACAGATTTGGACCTTATCAGGAAGTTGGTGCTGCCGATGTTTCTATGACTGAGAAGCATCTCCTTGAACGAATTGAAAATTTATTGTTGTTGGGACCAGTTAGTAGTTGTCGCAGTTCTGATAGTATGGAGGATTCTAAGGAGAAACAAAGTACAGTTAATAAAATCATCTCTATGATGGAGGAAGAGAATCAGCAGATAATAGAGAGAGCATCATACTGTGATACATCCCAATGCAGGGTGAAAGAGGATCTATATTTTGAAAGAAAGCTGAAACAGAATTTTTATGCATGGCTGGTTCACCAAGTTACTGATGATGTCAGAGGGCGAACTCTTCTTGATGGTGAAGGACAAGGTGTACTTCATTTGGTAGCTGCACTTGGTTATGATTGGGCCTTCAAGCCAATTTTAGCATCAGGGGTAAGTGTAGATTTTCGTGACATGAATGGATGGACTGCACTTCATTGGGCCGCATTCTATGGAAGGTAAATACTTCATAAACTGATTTATCATTTCTGCATTTATGCTTCACTTAACAAGTCAGTGGCCCATTCTTACTGTCCTGTGACTTCTCTTTTAGGATTCATGACTGATTTTCTTTAGTTAAGAAAAAGACACCAAAAGCCGATAGAACTTGCCTAAACTCTGTTGAGATCCAAGCACTGTTGGATTTGTTATTGTTGTTATCTTAGTGTTCAAACACGCAAAAAAAGAATTAAAAAGCTATGCTAAACAATTAAAGCGAGCATCAATAGTCCCTCGTTTCCTTTTGTTTGTACTAATCCCAAGCAATGTACAGACAGCTTTTTACCAGATAATGTTGGGCCAGCTAGCATTAACATAAAATCTCCAAGGTATTACAATGGGATTCAATATCACTTGGCTCTTAACAAAAGTTTCATGCACTAAATATTTTGCTAAACTTTTGGTACATCCTACCCTTACTTCTGGCTTATTTCACCTTCTGGGACTAATGCTTTTATAATGTTTCATTAGTTCATAAGATATGATATCCAGCTTCATTGAGAATCTGAGATTCACATATAAGAGATTTTCACTTACATACGCGAGTCTAGGTCCAGCCTCGCTTGCATTCAGTTATCAATGGGGATTTCTACTCTTCTGTTTACATGCGCAAGCTTCATATCATTGTAGTTGTTGGTTCGAACCAAAAATTTCACATTCCATATTGTTACATTTTTTATTTTATGGGATTTGAACTTGAGACCTCATGGTCTCAGGCCACACCCTTGGGTGAATGTTCCATCTTATTACATGCATAAACAGTCATACATATAGATGTAGTATGGAGAGCTTTGTGATTACTGGTGGGCTGATGGCATGTCAATCAAAACTGATTCTCTTCAATCCATTCTGATATAGCTGTAGAGAAGAGAAAGTCACAAGGATCTATTCTATCTCTGCTATTGACAGATAAAAAAGCTGGAAGCAAATTCAAGTCTAAAGACTTAGTCATTTTTACTTTCATTTTATCCCCATTGACATTAGTAATCTTATTACGTAGTGCAATCATCATTCAAAGTCCATTGGAACGAGCAGCTTGCTAATAGGTTTTTATCTTGCAGGGAGAAGACTGTTGTTAGTCTTGTCTCTTTAGGTGCATCTCCTGGAGCTTTGACAGACCCATCTGCTGAATTTCCTTTGGGTAGAACCCCTGCTGATTTGGCATCTGCCAATGGACACAAGGGAATATCTGGATTCCTTGCTGAATCTTCTTTGACTACTCACCTTTCTAAGCTTACTGTGACTGATGCAAAGGAAGAACTTGCTTCAGAAGTTTGTGAAGCAAAAGTTGGAGAAACAGTTACAGAGCGTGTGGCTGTTTCAACTACTGAAAATGATGTGCCAGATTTACTTTCACTTAAGGATTCTCTGGCTGCTATACGCAATGCTACTCAAGCAGCTGCTCGGATACATCAAATTTTCAGGGTTCAATCATTTCAGAGGAAGCAAATTATTGAGCAGTGTGACAATGAGTTATCATCTGATGAGAATGCTATTTCTATTGTAGCTTCTAGAGCTTGTAAGTTGGGGAAAAACAATGGTATAGCTCATGCGGCTGCCATTCAAATCCAGAAAAAGTTCCGTGGCTGGAATAAGAGAAAAGAGTTCCTTTTAATTCGACAAAAAATTGTTAAAATTCAGGTGCATTGCTTCTTTCAGATAACGAGTATTGTTATACACTTGGTGTCTAGTTACATATGTTTTTGTTGATGCGGAGTATCTTGCCTTTAAGTTGTTTTACCAACTTCCACATGCAAAAATTTATTCACGAGCCAGGGTGTGTTGCTATGGAAGCTGTGCTAATCATATTTTCATTTATGGGTCCTTGTCCTTCAGCCAATTCGTTATGTTTGGCCTATTGTTTTAAAGTTCCCCTTTTTATATAGCTCAACATCTGTAGTCATTTTCTTTCTTTATGCTGACATTTTACTGTTCTTTGTGAAGGCTCATATAAGGGGGCATCAAGTGAGGAAGAAATATAAGCCAATTATCTGGTCGGTAGGAATTCTAGAGAAAGTGATACTGCGGTGGAGACGTAAAAGAAGTGGTTTGAGGGGATTTAGATCAGAGGCGGTCATGAATAAGCCAAGCACACAAGAGGACTCATTGCCAGAAGATGATTATGATTTTCTGAAGGAAGGAAGAAAACAGACTGAAGTCAGGATGCAAAAAGCCCTTGCTAGGGTGAAGTCCATGACTCAATATCCTGAGGGTCGTGCTCAATATCGTAGGCTGCTTACTGCTGCTGAAGGACTTCGTGAAGTGAAGGTATAACAATGAATGTATCCAAGAAAGTGTGTTGCAATGTGATTTCTATTTTCAAGTATTATTAAAATAACAACTGCTCTTTTACCCATGCCTGGCATGCACATTTATGCATCTACTTAATGAGTTTATCTATGGGTTTGCTCTCGAGTTGCAAAACATGAATTATGGGTTAAATCTAGGTTGCTAGATCAAAAGTTGACTGAGCTTTTGTAGGGCAAAAACTTGGAAAAGGGCTGCTTCCGGAGAAAAGTAGATGAAAAAAGTAAAATAGGATGCTAATCTCGTTGTGGAGTGTCTTAATCTGTTTTTAGGTTGATACTTCTTTAACTCGTTGAGTTTCATTAGTCATTCTGGCCTGGTTAATCTTTCATGACCAAATGCAACTATGAATGCAATTTCGAATCACTCTTTTAAAAGCTAGCTGCCTAGTTAACTTGATTAGTTGGAATATTTGTCTCCTGTAAATAACGTTGATACTTTTCTGGATTTTGTTAGCTCTTTGACTCTACCTTAGGACCTTGTGCTGGGGCTAACGCTCTGTTACACTTTTGCTGATGGCATCAACCTGATTCTCTTTAATGAAATCTATTTACTTCATCAAAAAACGAAGTCTTAGCCTTAGATATCCTCTTATGACACTTGCTGAATATGAAAGCAGATAAATTTGTGTATGACAGATCTGTGTTGCAGAGAGATGTTTTTGTTAGTTACATAGTTGGATTAGTGTACCTTGACTTTCTGACTGTAGTTTGGTGGGTTGATTATTTCAAATTATTGATATCATTAAACTGAACATGTGTGAATCCTCAATTATGCATCTGAATGTGAATTTGTCACTATTTATCTTGTTACAACTGTAGAGTCTAGGAAATGACAGGCAAATTCTATTGGGTTATAGTTGTTGGATGTACCTTGATCTTGATGATGACCTTTGGCCCATGTTATGTTGAATCTAAATTTCAGCTGCCTAACTGGACTCGTATCTTTGATTAGCTTTTGGTGTCATTTGTTTTTTCTTTACACCTTTCTTTTTTTTCTTCACTTTCAGCAGGATGGTCCAATTCTTATCCCGGAGATCCCAGAAGATATCATCTACCCTGAAGAGGAGTTGTTTGATGTTGATAGTCTGTTGGATGATGATACTTTCATGTCTATAGCATTTGAATAAAGCTTCTTGTTTTTTTTGCCTTGATTAGCCAATTAATAGTTGATTCATTGTATATACATAGAACGTAGTAACTAATTCTGCACCATGAAGTTACTTGAGGGGAAACTCAATTTGCTCTAGATTCTTATAATTATTGTAAACATAAAAGAAATGCTAATATGTGCAGCCACCAATATTCACCAAGGTTTCTATTTCCCAGTCAATTTTCATTTCTGGAAAGTTGGCCATTTCTATCAATTTATACAATTTTAGCGAGTGCCAAGTGTTAAATTTTTTTAGAGATTCTAGCCGCAGGTCTGCTGCAGCAATAGCTTTGTATTTATCTGCTACATTTAGTATCGCACCAATTTTGTAAGGTCAGAATGTTGATAATAAGGCCACCCCATTTACATATTTAGAGAACTGGTCGTCGAATATCTGATTGTTGGCATAGTTTCGAGAAAAATATCCTTCAGCATACGTACGATGAAGTGTTGGAAATGCATCTTGTGTTATACAGAAGATTTTCAGTTCATAGCTTATCAAGCAATCCAGTTACACTATCTAGTTTCTACTGGAGTTGAGATGTTTATGAAAACTTTCATCTAAGATGGTCAGCATAGATAAGAGCCAAGTGGGTTCACATGATATTACAAACACGAATCAAGTAATAGAATCGAAGGAAAACGTGTTACATTAACTTTATACACGCATGGTTGTAAAAAAAAGGAAAATAAGAAAAACTTATTAGAATCAAAGAGAAGTGTGTTTAATTCACTTTATACTAGCATAGTACGAGAAGAAAGAATCGATAATTAGAGTAGAAGAGAAGTGTGTTAGATTAACTCTATACAGGCATTGTTGTAAGAAAGAAAAGGAATAATTAAGTATTAGTCATACTCCATGAATGTGCATCTCAGCACCTCAAAATAAAACAACACTGGAGCAGTGTTTTTCAGATTGAAATTACACAAAGGAGAAACTTGACTTATTCCTGCTTTCCGGGTTCTGCCAATGGAGTTCACTGGAAGTTGATGCAGTTACATAGCTAATAATACAGTATCAACATCTCATTAAAGTTTCTATACCAAGATTTACATCTCTTTATTGTTAAAACAAGTCAAAACACTTGCAACCCCTTGTGTGTTGAACACTGAACTCGTAAACATTCGTTAAGCCGGTCCAATGAACCATGAAAGCTAAACACGACAAAAGTTGAGCAGACACATACGCAATAGTTAGGTCTCAACATGTGAGTACTATTTTCAGCTCTTGCTTGCTGCAAGGCTCTCATAAAAGAGGATATAGCCATGATCTGTATTGCTGGAGTACTCTTGAGCTGAGCCAAAAAAGGTCTGAACAGCAGACTCATCAATGATCTCCGCGTTCTCATCATCAAAGAACAACCAGTGGTTGTGGCTTTTCACAAGACTAACATAATGCCCATGGTTTGGCCCACTTCCGACATGAACCACAACAGCAAATAGAGAATACTCAGAATCTGTGTTTTCAGTGGTGTTGCTGAGTTTTAGCTCCAGAGGAAACACAACGCGGTAAGACAATTTTTTGTAACGACCTAGTTGTTCCATATACTTGAAGCGCTTCAAATGAATGACCAGGATGTGTGGAGGTTTCTTTATCTTCATCCGTTTTTGTGCTTCTTGCAAGCTGAATTCACAAAAAGAAAGTAAATTTCTTCACCATAATTGTTTAAAAAGGTAAAGGTGAAGGCACTTACCTACAACACTTGTCACAGAAAAATTTGTCCTCTGCATTGAGGGTCTCTGTAGAACTGAAATTTTTTAGGCAGCTTGTAATTGAACTGTTTTGTTCAATATCAAGGCTCAAATCAAAAAATGTCTCATCCCTAGCTGTGACTGTCTCACACCTCAAACATCTTGTTTCATTGGTTAATATACCCTGCATTTCATATAAAAAAGGAAATCAGTTAAGCAGCCACTATCTCTAGAAAGTAGTACACCATTTGCGAAGTCCTAGGATCCAAAATTTGCATCACAAGTGGAGTGAAGCAAGCACTTATAATTTAAACATATATGAATTTGTCTACTGATAGAATCCATGAGCATCAGATAGAAATTCAGAAGACCAATATAGGACCTTGACTCTAATCTTTTCAAACAGTACGTACACATTTCACTGATAGAATTTTTAGAGAACTTCACATTTTCCTCCTAGTCTTGCTCCAAGCACCTCCTCTGAGATACAAATCCAAAAATACCCAACATGGAACAAACCATGACTTTTTTTCCTTTCAAATAGAAGTATAAAAGAAGTTTATTGACAGAAATTTAAGAGAGATCCTTGATTTCTCCCTTCACTACCTCCTGTGAAGCTGCAATGCAGATGCTAAAACTGACATCCTCAAATTATATATAGACAAAAAGAAAGATAAAATCCTAAACAAAGTTAGATAATTTACCTGAAAATTTTTGTGCACCCAGGTAACAAGTGGCTCCTTCTTAACGCCATTCGCATGACCATTACATGTTCCATTTGAGACTTTTTCAGGAGAACTTGCCGCTAAACTTTTTGCTGCATGTGACTCTTTCTCCAAGATATCAACGAGTTCATTCAACAAGAAGTTCAAAAACTCATGGGCATCCTGAGAAAAAGCATGACCAAAAATCAACTTTATTAAAACCTAGATAAAGTAGCAATTGATTTTGTATGTAATTGTCCTAATGATTCTGGATAGCAATGGAGTAGAAATCATATCATCACAATGAATCAACACTTTGCTGCCTAAACCATTGTTCATAGTAGTAAAACCTTCAGCGTTAAAAAGAATGTTAACTTACCCCTCCGTAATTTTAACTGATATCTCTAACCTTCAAGGGTAATATAGGACTTACAACTAAGTTCCTTCCTAACTATATCTTTCTTCTCCTCCTCGTTATCATTACCCGTGCCATTAGGCACACAAGCATCATGACACTAACTCTTCTCTTTCATCCTCTTATTTGTTCTTCTGCTCTAGCAACCACCCACACATAAAACCCTAGTGAAGCTTGTTTTCCACCTCTATGTAAATGATCAGATAAAGAATGTAATAACTTAACAATAAAGATATGGCGTGGTTTCAGCAGGTAAAGCACAATTTGGGTAAGCAGGAAGGTAAAAACTTCTCTACCCCGTCGTGAAACCAGTTTATAAACACTAAGCACGTAACCCACAAGAAAATACATTATATAAAGGAATACAGGTCACAGAAGCTTGAAGATGCTCCGGGTTAAATGATAGATGCAGTATAACATCAATGTAACTCAAATGGTTCATGACTTCTATAAAGCACATAAATGAACTTAGGATCGATATAAGATGTTTCTCTTTTTATTTTTAATCAACGTAACGTATGAGAGGTTTCTCATTTTACACTGATCTTAGGACTAATTATGCATCTAAAGTAAAAGTGAGCATGGCACATCTCCCAGGTTGGAAATTTTTAGGGTATTCTCTTTCTTGTTTCAGATAATCCTTCTTTCATTCTTCTTATTTTCTTTTAAACAGGTCTCTTGCTATAGGTCACCACTGTGAAGTTATCTTAAAAGATAGTGATGGCTCATTCAAGATTCGCTTGAAGCCTACAAGAACATCATGGTTAGAAAAACTGATCAAGAAGTGACTTGTTCCTTCATGATCTAACAAAAAAATGATTCTTGCATAGACGTTGAATGGTTTCCACCAAATAGCAAGCATACATAAATGTCTAGAAAAACATGTACCTGATGCATGTAACCTCGGAAAAGTTCATTTTGCTTCCTGACTCTTTGTACAAAGCGCCTTGGAGCTATAACACCTGTTTTCTTCTTCTGTGAACTTATCTGCACGATAAAAACAACCAGATTTATGTGCCTACAATTCTCAACGAGCATAGATTAAAACAAATGCTATTTTCATGTGTAGAAATTTTGTTTCCTGATGAAAACTCTTGAATAATCATTGTTCAACAGAAAATTTAACTCGTACACACCAAAGAAGAGACTGACCTGGTTGAAGGTAAAAAATTCCTAGTTATGGCAAAACCGATTAACAGCACATCCTCATTTTCAGGTCTGAATTAGCTAAAACTCTTCTATATAGCAACATAACCAAGAGAGAGAGAAATAAAAGTTCAAGGAACGGGAGTTTGGAAGAGAAGTTTGAAGTTCTTATATATTTCTTACGCTATCATGTTGTCTTTGTTTTCTTACTTACCTAGAACTTTGGAATTTGGTTCGACTCTTCAGTTAAACAAGCACCATCATCCTAGCTCAGCCAATAATAGTGTTTTTGCCTTCTCAATTGAGAAAAGTAAAAATCTTATGCTACTGTCCTCACTCAATTGAATTTCCTCTGACCAAAATAAGACAATTTTGGAATATGCTTGCTGAATTTACTGAACTAGCACTTGATTGGAATTAAGTCGACAATAGTCGGAGTTCTTCTGCTTATTTATCATCCTGTTACACTTTCTCGATTGAATGACACAGAGATAGCTATAGCATTTAAGGCTAGACTTGCCAAATTCCTCAATTAAGCATGCCACATGGAGGACACCAAACGTTTTTCTAGAATTACTTTTATCAAGCAAGGTAATTACATTACTGAGAATTATTAAATTCACGTTCAACGTAGCAGAATACTCAAACATTCAAAACACTATTCATTAGATAGAAAGCCCACACATTCAGATTGAATCTGCTACCTGTGAAAACAATTCAGCCAAACAAGTTAAGAGATTCTCCTCAGCTTCTGGAGGACCTTTATTATTTGCATAATACTCTAGCAGTTGCTCGCGGAAGGGGACACAAAAGTATAAGGCCTGTATCAAAAGAGATAAAGGAACAATCAATAATCACATCGGATGCAACAATCACTGCTCAAATGAAGTGTCGTATTACGCACGACTCACGAGTGTACTGGACTTTGATTTACCTAAGGACGAATTTCATCTTTGAAATACTAATCAAAACATCAAATTGCAAAACTAAGCATCTAAATAATCCGCATAAAAAAAGGGTAAATCGATCTAATAGAAACAGCAACACAACTAGATAACCTCCATCTTTTACTAGCTAGGAATCCAAACTAAACTAATTCATCTTTTAAATTATTAAAACCATCGGAATGAAATAAGTCTAACTAGGTGGGGATCATCGTTATTGTAGAAATCTCAGCTAAACCCAGAATTTATGAATTAAAATTATTTTGACCCACAACGCCCATCAAATGAAAAAAGAAAAGAATCAAGAATCCCAAGATTAAAGAAGAAGAAAGTATGGAAAAGAGTATTAAACCTGCAAGACGCTGTTGCAATAACAAGTGTTGCCGAAATTTTCGAGACCAAAGTATCGTTCACCTTCGGGAAACTGGTCTCCGAGGGCTTTCTCGAGCTTGGAACCCGTTGCACCCATGAGACCATCAACCAAATACCAGTACTCCTCTATGCTGCTTTTATGATTCTTTCGGTCTTCAAATTCAGTAAATCTTCATCACTCACAAATTGGGTAGGACAATTTATAGAGGAAGAAATGGAGGTGACATTGAATTTTGGATTGTGTTTGGGCTGAATGTGTCATTCATCTCAAAGGCGTGCTTATAGAGGCGGTGCCATCTGGGCTCTATTTTCTCTCTCCACCTTTGACCCAACCTTATGCTTCTAGTAACTATATTTTGGGAGTTATAATAATTATCGAAATAAAATGTAAGATTAGTTTATTTTATGTGTTATTGGCAGTTTCAAGAATATTTATTTCACTATTTGTATTTTATGAATTAAGTTATTATATATATATAGTAAAATAATTTATTTTGAGATAATTAATTTTGGATGACTTATTTCTAATTAAATGATCACTTAAAGCATGTTTGGATTGTCTTTTGACTTATAACTTATAAATCAAAAATCATAAGTTAGAAATCTTAACTTATGACTTGTTTTTATTATTTTAGATTAAAATTAAGAGCTTAAAAACATTTTTAGATTTTACTCAAATATAATAAAAGTGTTTAGAGTCTATTTTGGCTTGAAAACAATCAAAATAAGTTATTCAAATAGCCTCTAAAGATCAATTAATGTGAATATTGTGAACAAATGCTCATGTTAATCATTATTTTTATAGGAATGTGCAAAGTTCAAACTCGATAAGTAAAAATGAACAAAGAGAATATTTTGTAAGTAAGTCAATTGTATTATCTCAAAAACATTTATAATAATTTAAATAAATATTGATGAAATCAGCTACTGATCAGTCAAGCTCCTCCATTGATGGAGCTTCAACTCACATGAGAGAAGATGAGAGAAGAAGAGAGAAGAGAAGAGAAGAAGAATCTAGAAGAGCAACATGAAAATTATCTCTCATTGAATGTGAATTAAAAACTACAAGAATTACAATGTGAATATATATATAATCACTGGCAGAAATTAACTAACTAACAAACTTGATTCTAACTAACTCTACTGTACATAGATTCTAACTAACTCTACTGTACATAACCGACTCTACTGTACATAACTAACTAATTATACTTTATATTCTCATCACCCCTCCTCAAGTTGGAGGTGATGTAATTACAGACAACTTGTGCAATAAGGCAGTATGTTTAACTCCAGTCAGAGCCTTGGTGAAGATGTCTGCCAACTGTGAATCAGTGGGAATATGATGGAGTGTGATTAGGCCTTGTTGAAGCTTGGTCCTAACAAAGTGACAATCGATTTATATGTGCTTTGTCCTCTCATGAAAAACTGGATTCTTTGCAATGTGGATTGCTGCTTGACTGTCACAATGGACAGGGATAGGTAAGGAGCATTGTACAGTCAACTCATCCAACAATCTTTCAAGCCACACTAGTTCTCCTACAACTTGTCTCACAGCTCTATATTCAGCTTCAACAGATGACAAAGACACTGTTGCTTGCTTCTTAGACTTCCAGCTGATAGGACTATCACCCAGAAGCACTAGGTATCCACTAACAGACTTCCTGGAATCAGGGCAAGCAGCCCAATCAGAATCACAATAAGCACTGATAGTGAGATCAGGCTTGTTTGAGATAAAAATCCCCAATGTTGGATCCTGTTTCAAATATCTGAGCACATGGTATGCTGCTTTTAAATGTGGTTCCCTAGGTGATTGCATAAATTGGCTCAAGTGTTGTACACTATAAGCTATGTCCATTCTAGTGTTGGTCAAAAAGTTTAGCTTACCAACCAACTTCCTGTATTGAGTAGGATCAGATAAAAGATTGCCATCTGTAGCTGTTAACTTCTCAGTGCAATCAAGTGGTGATGTAGTGGCCTGGTGACTTAACACATCAAAATCTTTCAGGAGATCAGAAGTGAATTTCTTTTGTGAAACTAGCACTCCATCGTGTCTGTATAATATTTCTAGTCCCAGAAAGTAGTGTAGTTTGCCCAAATCCTTTATCTTGAACTGATCATTTAAGAAGCTCTTTAAGGAGTTGATTTCAGCCACATCTGTTCCAGTTAGAATTATATCATCCACATATACAGCAACAAACACCAAGGAGCAGCCCTTCCTTTTGTAGAACAGTGAGTAATCACTGTCTGAGTGTTGATACCCTCTTGAACATAGACAGTTTGCCAACTTCTCATACCATTGCCTGCTGGCCTGTTTTAGTCCATACAAAGACTTCTTCAATTTGCACACCATGTTATCACAACCTACTACAAGACCTTGTGGAGGTGCCATGTACACTTCCTCATGCAAATCACCATGTAAGAATGCATTATTGACATCTAGCTGATACAAGCTCCAATCTTTCTTAACAGTTAAAAAGATTAATGTTCTAACAGTAGTCATTTTAACTACAGGTGAGAAGGTTTCAGTGTAATCCACCCCAGCTTGTTGTGTATAACCTTTGACCACCAGCCTAGCCTTGAACCTCTCCACACTCCCATCAGCTTTGTGCTTGATTTTGTACACCCATTTGCACCCAATAGCTTTCTTCCCATCAGGTAACATGACCATCTCCCAAGTGTCATTAGCATACAAAGCTTCAAACTCCTGTGTCATGGCCTGCTGCCAGGCAGGGTGCAATATTGCTTCCTCAAATGAAATAGGCTCACATTCATGTGAAATGGTTGTTACTAACTGCTGACTATCAGAACAAAGACTGGTGAAACATACATGTTTATGGGGAGATATAAAGGAAGTGAGGGAGTGCAGCTTAGGTATGGTGTAGGTGTATTCTTTTAGGTAATTAGGAGTGTGTATGGTTCTGGTTGTTCTTCTAGGTGCTGATATTATAGGTACTGGTAAAGTATCATGATGCATGGTGGCATTTGGATCAGGTAAGGTAGGTTGAGTTGTAGGTTCATGTAGGACAGCAGGTGGTACTTCATTCATGTTGGTATTACTGGTTACTTGATTATTAGTGACTTCATGTGGTGTGAAATTTTCCAGTTGATCATCATTAGCAAAAATGTTCATTTTATCAGACATACAAGGCATGCTAGTGGTATGAGTAAGCATTTGCAGAATGGAATTGAAACTAGAACCATCAGGGGCAATAACAAAAGGAAAAATATTTTCTTGAAAAATAACATCTCTTGATATATGAACTTTCTTGGTAGCTAAATTCAAAACTTTGTAACCTTTTGTATTGAAAGGATAACCAACAAAAACATGAGGTGTGGTTCTAGGTTCAAATTTATCTTTGTGAGTTTTCAAGGTAGTGGGGAAACAAAGACAACCAAAACTCTTAAGGTGGAAATATGTAGGTGATTTATGGTACAACATTTCATATGGAGATTTATTCTATAAAAGTTGAGTGGGCAGTCTATTAATCAGGTATGTGGCAGTCAATACACATTCCCCCCAGTACCTCATAGGTAACTTTGACTGAAACAAAAGTGGCCTTGCTGTTTCAAGTAGGTACTTATGTTTCCTTTCTACCACCCCATTTTGTTGAGGTGTATAAGGACAAGTTCTTTGGTGTATGATACCTTTGTTTTGGAAGAAATTTGTGGCTTCAGCTGAAGTAAACTCTAACCCATTGTCAGATCTTATGGCTTTTAACTTGGTTTGGAATTGGTTTTCTATGAGAGATATGAAGGTTTTAATAGTTTGGAGAGCATTACTCTTACATCTCAGCAATTGTGTCCAAGTGGACCTACTGTGGTCATTGTGGTCATCTACCATAGTGAGGAAATAATGATATCCATCATGAGTGGGAACATGATATGGTCCTTATAGGTCAACATGTAACAACTCAAACACTTTAGTGGTGGTGGTGATACTTTCTGGAAAAGGCATCCTAGTTTGCCTAGCCATAGGGCATATATTGCAAGTAAAAGGCTGTTTAGGAGAAAAATGAACAGGTATAGTTGAGATATTTTTCATTTTTACAAAAGGTACATGTTTTAATCTAGCATGCCACAAAAGTTCATCATCATGAGTGTGATTAGAGACATTTGCAAATGAAGGACAAGCATGAGTAAAACAAGATGAAGGAAAAACAGTATAATCTGTCTTATTCATAGGAGAGTATTTTACAAAAGAACCAGTGGACACATTATAATCTGAAATCCTGCTAGTATTGCCTAAAGAAGAGACAATAGGACAATTAACATGAGGTGCTTTACTCTCAGCAGATGGACAACAATTGTGGCATTTGTGACACAAGAAGTACAGGCCATTCTTGGCTTTACCAAGTTCCAGAGGGCTCTTCAGAGAAGGGCCCTGCAGCAAACAAGAAGATTTGTCAAAACTGACTACACCATTGAATTGTAGTGCTAAACAATGAACAGAAATGAGATTAAACTTGAAGCTAGGTACAAATAACACTTTGCTTAGAGTCAAAGCTGGATTTAAACAAGCATCACCAATTTCAGTCACTTTAACCTTGTAACCATTAGGGAGTGAAATTAGAAAGGGATATGGAAGTGAAATGATATTTGTGAGGGTGGTCTTATCATAGGTCATATAGTATGATGCTCTTGAATCTATGATCCAAGAGCCAGCAGTTAGTTTAACATATTTACAAGAAAGATCACCTATATCAGTAATAGAGGAATAACATGCAAGTATACCTGCCAAGTTCACAGCTCCATTCAGCATGTTGTCTGAGTTTGAGGCTCCATTTCCAACTTGTAAAGTTCCCAGGAGATTGAGTAGTTGTTCATATTGATCTTTGGACAAGTTCAATGGCATTTGTCTCCTTACTTCAGGTTCCTCTTCAGATTGAACTCCATTCATATCAGGGGCACACACATTTGCTGCAGCTTTTCCCTTTTTGAACCGTGGATTTGGATTGGATGGGTATCCATGAAGCTTGTAACATCTATCCTTTGTGTGTCCTGATTTCTTACAGTAGTCACAAAACAAAGAAGACTTGCTAGTGCTAGAATTTCCTCTAAACCCAATATTACCAGAACTGGTTCCACCTCCTCCAGATAAACTGTAGTTTGTCCGGAATCCCCTGTATCCTGCACTGTTGTTGGTCTGTCCATAAGCATTGAGAGAGGTAGAATCCAAGGCTGTATGATTATGAGGCTTCACCTCCCTTTGCTTCTCTTCTTGGGACAAGATGGCAAAAGCCTGGGCCATACTTGGTAGAGTATTCATCATGAGAATGTTGCCTCGGACTGCAGTATACATCTCATTTAAACCCATTAGAAAGTGTATAAGCCTGCGATCTTGTTCAGCCTTAACCAATTTTGTTTTACCACCACAAGTGCACACACAATTGCACTGAGAGCTGATATCAATAATGCTCATTTCTTCCCAGAGTTTCTTCATTTTAGTGTAGTAACTAGTGATATCCAGAGTGCCTTGGACAAGGTCATTGATCTCCTTTTGAAGCTGGTACAACTTACAACTATTGGTTTGATCGTACCTTTCTTCTAGTTCTCCCCAAAGCTCCTGAGCATTATTGACATACTGCAGACTATCACGCAAATCTGGTGACAAGGAGTTCAGGATCCAAGATGTGACCATATCATCACACCTTTCCCATTGTTGAAAGCTAGGATCAGTAGGATCAGGTCTCACAACCTTCCCATTAATGAATCATGTCTTGCTCTTAACAGATAAAGCCCTGAGAACTGCTCTTCTCCAGGATCTGTAACCAGTTCCATCGAAAACTGCAGGTAATAGGGATGAACTCGCATTCTCAGATGGATGCAAGTAGAAAGGACTAGGGATTTCTACCCTAACAGTGGATGCAGAAGCATTTGGAATGGAATCATTTGAAGAATCGACCATTGTGAATTGAAAATTGGGAAGAAGATCAAGTCGAGAACAACCAGATCAAACAGAGTTCACAAACAAAATTGACAGATCGAAGAACCAGTCGAGATCAACCAGATCAAACAAAAAATTCACATAAGAGAAAACGAAGCTCACAGATTGAATTGGAAACGAAAAAAAACATGAGCAATTCCCTGTGCTCTGATACCATGATGAAATCAGCTACTGATCAGTCAAGCTCCTCCATTGATGGAGCTTCAACTCACATGAGAGAAGATGAGAGAAGAAGAGAGAAGAAGAGAGAAGAGAAGAGAAGAAGAATTTAGAAGGGCAACATGAAAATTATCTCTCATTGAATGTGAATTAAAAACTACAAGAATTACAATGTGACTATATATATAATCACTGGCAGAAATTAACTAACTAACAAACTTGATTCTAACTAACTCTACTGTACATAGATTCTAACTAACTCTACTGTACATAACCGACTCTACTGTACATAACTAACTAATTATACTTTATATTCTCATCAAATATTATGAAAATGAGGTGAATAAATTATTTTAAAAAAAATAGGTGATTTTGTAAGTAGATAAAAAATATTATTTTAAATAATGATTTATAATTTAGATAAATTGAAGTGGGCACTTCAAAATTTTCCCTTGTTTTACAAAACTTATTTGTTTATGCTAATAAGAAAAGAAAAACACTAGAATAGCATAAATATATTGCTGGAGAAATTGGATATTATTAAATTTAGTTTTGATGGATGGGGAAATTCGTAAAGTTGGTTAGCAGTTTTTTTTTTTTTTTTTTTAACACGAAACATAAGCTTTAATTATTATTTCCGAATCTTACTAGTCAATTTCCATATTTTTAGACTAGTGAGTTTCGCTTCCTTCCCTAATATGTAGTAAGAACTCAACTTTTAATCATGTTATTTTTTTACTACAAAACATTAATCATAAATTATTTAAGTAAGAATAAAAAGATATATTTTGGTGATCAAATGGGAAGAAGAGGTGACAATGCAATAAGAATAAATATTTAAGAAAAAGTACACTTTGTTGATTAGTGATTGCATTAATTATTTGGCAAATAAATAATTAGACAAGAAGTCAATAAAGATTTGGTGCAATGCATCTCTTAGAAAAGGTTTCAGAAATCTATATATTCTCAATCCCCATGATGTCAAGTCCTTGTGATTTAATCTATTTTTTAAAACTAAATATTGTTTTCATTATTCTAAATACTTTACTGTGGCCATATGTGTCATGATCTTCTATGAGGAAAATAAACAAAGGATATAGATAAGATTTGCTTCTACGTGCATTGCACAATAATTAAGTAAAATTGAAATATGACAAATTATTTTTTTGAGAGGGGATATTTATATATCTATCTTATCTTACTATAGAATTAGAAAAGGGAAGCTCGTGTTATGCACGGACACAATTACTATTATTTGAAATTCATAATTTTTATTTGTGATACTTTTATTTTTTTAAATATAGTAATATTTATTTTTAATGATCTAACATTGATATTAGAAATCAAGGTTATTTATGGATAAAAAATCGAGAAATTAAATAATCACATATCGTTAATTTGAGATTACAAATTTTATAAACTTTTAAAATTGGAGAAAAAAAATTAAAATGGAGACAATATTTTGTTTGGTTGGTATAAACTTTTAAAATTGGAGGGAAAAAAAACGGAGACAATAATTAGTTTGAATGGAAAATTAATAGAGTAGAGTTTGGTAATGTAGTGGAATAGGTAGGTATTATTATCTAAGAAATGGAAATAAGCATACAGTTGTGTGTTTCCTACATAAGTAAGCAGCTTGACATATCGGTTGAAGAGGTCTCCAAATTGATGCTCCAAATCGACTTATGCTTATGCAGATTCGATCTGGAAACCTTTGGTCAAGCTACTTACTTATGTGAGAAGTACATGTTGAATTATAACTAATCTACACTATGAGAGCTCACCTTCAATGGTGGATCACAGATGCATTTAGAGAGAAAGAGAAGAAGAAGTGTTATTCATTATTGTGGAAAGCTCAAAAAGATATTACAATGTAACAGTGACTTTTATACACTGTTTATTTCCTAACCGACTAACAACTATACTAACAACTTTTCTAATTCCTCAACTGCCCCTAACTAACTTTATACACAACATTAAGTAATTCATACCTCATTAGTACACATCTGAAGCATACATGTTGACGCTTAACTATCTGCTTATTCTCATTTCTTAGATAGTAATATCTCATATATAACTGAAAAAAAATAATCTAATGCTCAATTATCTGCTTATTCTCATTTCTTAATTAGTAATATCTCATATATAACTGGGAAAAAAATAAATCTTACTTTTAGAACTAAGCCAAGCTAGGTGATAGCACAAGGAGAAATTAAGACATACGACAGTTTCAAAAGGAAAATATAGGTAATTAGGTAATAATTAATTATTGTTTGTCTTTAATTTCTATTGCTTGTTTAAAATTTACGATACTCGTACCTTATATGACTTCGATATCATTGCTTATCCACCATATCCTTTGTACAAATTAATAAAAAATCGTAACTGGATTTATTGTTAGGTAACCATTATTATAAAATTAAAAATTCAATGCTTGTTTTAAAACCAGTACAAGTATATGCTAGATTCTCTACAAAGAAACCAAAAGATAACTCGGCTTTGCCTTTGGATATATGAAGTTTTTAAAAAATGTGATGCAGTTAAATTTATTATTGATATTGACCAAGCTCGTAAAGTAACTACCAGATACCACTGTAAGCTAAAATCTAATTATCGAAATGACCAAAAAAACAAAGAGGAAATTCTAAAAGCTTAATGAGTGTGCTAAGATTTGATCATGCTTCAGAGCAGTGATGATGACTGCAATAGTTCCTGACTTTGCTTAGGAAAAATGGTACTCTCTTGGAGTGTGCGAATCCTCTGTAAAAGCAATCATCTGAAATTGTTGAAACGATTTTGCAACATTGTGTGGATAATGAAATTTTACGCTTGAAAACAGAAGTGATCAAATCTGATACACAATCGTCCATCTTGATGCAAGAAGTCGTTGGAGCCGGGGTGAAAGACGGAGCCAAAACCATATCATCAACTGGGGATGGAGCTACATGAGTTGGTGATGAAGAAGCCATATACGATGGCGGAACTGCATTATCAACAGGAGATGGAGGCAGGTGAGTTGGTGGTGATGGTTTTTTTGGGTGAGGACGCCATCACCATCCGATTGAAGGTACATGATGATGATGCCGCCATGATAGAATCGAAGAAGTGCCAAACGATTCCTTCTTGTTATTTGTTTTTGCTTCTGTTGCAGTGGCGTTAACGATGCTTATGCAAATACCCAACAACAGAAACACACAAAATAAAGTGCCACTTGATCTTGACATGTTTCAGAAAAAGATCTAATAATTACGTGCAACTCCTGGAACGTTTCTGAAAAAGAAGAACAAATATGAGTTGATATAAATAGACAAAAGAATATAAGCTACGGCAGCACTAATTCCTAATCCCTTTAAACTTGGAACATCTATTTCTACCCAAATTCTGATTCTATGTGACACTTAATTTGAGTAATATAATCCGAAATTGGGTAGAAGTAGATGCTCAAGTTTAAAGGGATTGGGATTCGGAATTAGTACCGACGTAGCTGAAATTATTTGTCTATATATACCTACTCATATTTGTTCCTTCTCAAACACACAAGTAATTATTCAGCCTTCTTTCTGAAACATTCTCAGAGTCAGCGATACTGTAACATGTCGAGATCAAGTGGCACATTATTATGTGTGTTTCTCTTGTTGGGTATTTGCATAAGCATCGTTAACGCCACGGCAACAGAAGCCAAAACAGATAACAACAAGGAATCGTTTGGTACTTCTTCGATTCTATCCTGGTGGCGATATCATCATCATGTACCTTCATTTGGATGGTGGCGTCGTCACCCGAAAAAAACATCACCACCAACTCACGTGACTCCATCTCCATCTCCTGTTGATAATGCGGTTCCGCCATCGCACATGGCTTCTTCATCAACTCATGCGGCTCCATCCCCAGTTGATGATGTGGTTTCCCCACCGCACTTGGCTCCGTCTTTGTCCCCGGCTCAAACGACTTCTTGCATCAAGATGGACGATTGTGTATCAGATTTGATCACTTCTGTTTTCAAGCGTAAAATTTCATTATCCACACAATGTTGCAAAGCTGTTTCAACAATTTCAGATGATTGCTTTTATAGAGGGTTCGTGCACTCTAAGAGGGTACCCTTTTTCCTAAGCAAAGTCAGGAACTATTGTAGTCATCATCAAGGCTGAAGCATGATCAAAACTTAGCAAGACAATAGGATAATACGACTTTTTCTTCTTTTTTTTGGCCATTTAACTTACTTTATATAGGATTCCATCCCCTTAAGGGGGTGGCCATTAAATTCTTTCGAGTAAATTCCTTATTAGTTCAATTGGATCTTTTATCTCTATTTTACAATTTAATTACTTGCTCTCTCCGTCTCCTTGCATATTATTTATCCATGTTTGACTTGACACAACCTTTTTACTTATGGTAGTCATATCAATCAACTTTGCCTTGATCCCGATTAAAGTTGAGGACAATTATATGAACCTTCTGCAATTATTTCTCTCTATTCGACCTTAACATGACTTACCATGACATTATTACACTAGCTATCAACCTGCCACAGTTGTTCTTTCTATCCGGACTGGGTTCAGCAAACATAAATGGAATTACAATACATCATCAAAGTGACAACCTAGAACAAGACTCTGTCGACCTCTGATTTGATGCACTTCTAGATCTTTTTGAATAATTTTTATGGTTCTGAACATTAAATTTCTTTGTTATGGCTGCAAATTGTATCTGATTATCAGGCAAAAGCATTTTCCATTGTCTTGATTTATTTTATATTTTTTGTTTAGACCCGATACTTGAGGACCCAGACACGCATTACATCA